ACAATAAATTTACATAATTACATTTATCACTTGAAGGCTTTTTGAAGGGGGAATGTGTATAATGAAAGCAATAAACCTCATGAACAGACACGAAGAACTTCCTAATCTTATGTTGATTTGTAAACATAAAAAATTTAGGCAACAAAACTTGTTAATTTATACTGAATAGCGAAAATAGGACAAAAAAGTTGATAAGAGTTTTTTTATCCATAATCAATGAATCCATCAACTATCGGTTTTATTAAAAAATTCTTTATGTGGCCCTTATGATCTAATTACATAAATACAATCTAAGAAGAGATTAATAAATTATTAGGTTCTAAATGGAAGAAAAAGAAGAACAAAAATTAATAACAGATATTTGATTCAATTGCAGAGAATTACAGGTAAGTAAATGACAAATAAGACTCATTTCTTTCACTCAATATTTTTCTTCCTTACTAAACTTTCTTCCACTCTTATTTATAGCTATTCTCCAACTAATTTTTTCTAGCCACTTTCTCCTCAACGGAATTCTGTTCCTGCCCACTCCTTCTCAAGTCTTCCGGGTTCTTCTAGAATTGAAGGCTTATTAATACCCCGAGGTTCGAAAGATATTTTGTCCTCAAGGTGGAAGTATGGTTCAATTACAAAATTTAGATTACCATATATCTGAACGATTTATTTGATACGAATCCTGCCAAGGCAAATGTAGAAATGAGATATTTCAGTCTTAGATATTGGCTAACTGTCTAACTACTAGTAATATAGAGCCCAAGCAAACTTCATAATTTGTCGTACCCGCCTACAAAACTTTCATGTGCTGCACTTCGTTGATTAGAATAAATTTGAGGATAACCCCACAATCTACTAGCACCGTTACTTTTCGTGAGCCCAATGCTCTCACCATCTTCATTGTTCCAGGTGTTGTCAACCTAAACACACAATTCCTTCTCCCTTGAAGACTGCCCTTCTGCATTCGACATTTGCTTGGTTGAAAATTCCTTGCAAAGAATAGAGGGTATCTCCCCCATTATTACGGTCCTTGTGGAAAAGGGTTCTGGCTTCTTCCCTCCCCCATCATGTTGGTGTAAAATTGGACTTTGAAAATTTTGCACCTACAAACTCCTTAGCAAATTTAAAAATTGGATGTAAAATTGGACTTCGAAAATTTTGTCTCCATTTTGTTGCCCTGCCCTGCCCAGCCCAGCCCATTGGGCCATAATAAACGTACCTCAACCTAAATTTCTGATTTGAGCCCATTTACAAATGTACTCTCCATTACTCTCTTAAATTCGCAGCAATGGCGTAACCAGAACTTCAATTGATCGACTGAATTTTGGGATCAGTCCGTTTTGTTTGTAACTAGTTGAGGAAAGGTCATTGATGCCACAGTTTTCTTGGTTGCCTCCACTATATGCAACAATCAGACCATGCTCTGGGTTAAGTACTCCACCGACTTTTCCAACTCCGGTAAGCGTTGCATTTAGGTTGTAAACCCTTAAAAACTCTGGGTTATGTACTCATCATGGAAGTTTTTGGGCGGGTACGACAGTTTATGGAGTTTACTACTACTAGTTAGTTGGTCAGCACAGTACCTACCTAGGACTGATATATCCCATTTTTGCATTTGCCTTGGCATGAGTTGTGCCAAAGAAATAGTTCAGCTATATGGTTTCCAAATTTTGGAGTTGAACCACACTTTCACCTTATGGACAAGATGTCTCTTGAACCTGGGGTATTGGTAATCCTCCAATTGTAGTGAAAGACTTGAGAAAGAGTGGGCATCAGCATAATTCGATTGAGGAGCAAGTGGTTGGGAAAAATTAATTAGAGAATAATTATAAATAAGAGTAAAAGGAAGCTTAGTAAGGAGAAACAATATAGATTTTGCTATTTGTACATAGAGGGTTACATAATATGATGTGGTGGAAAAAGATTGGAAGAAAAAATTAATTGTATTTTAAACTGGCAAATGGTAGAATGTCACGTAATCCCTAATATACATGTAGCAAGATCCAAAAAAATATTGAGTGAAAGAAATGAGTCTTGTTTGTCATTTACTTACATGTAATTCTCTGCAATTCAATCAAAGATCTATTATTAATTTTCGTTCTTTTTCTTCCAGTTAGAACCCTAACAATGGTATCAAAGTAAGCACC